TATAGTGAGATCATAACTGGACAAGCAGCGGGAAAGCTTGCCGCACAATTCTATCAATGGCAAGCTATGCGACTTTAGCTGGATAGACTCCAGCAGTACCCCAAAGCACACTCTGAGGTACCCAAGCCTTTTGCTCTTGCCAACCTACACCTAACACTTCCCGGAATTCGGGAAGCAGGATGCATCCCTCCAGGGGAGAGCATACATTCCCTTCCAATAATTATCTCGGCAATTTCCATGTGCAGGTGGGATGCATGGAAATCTCAGCTTGATTTCGATGCTCTTAAGCATGGTGATGGGTTTCTACATGTGTCAAGACACCTAGGTGACCAAAATAAATATTCCCAGTAACCATATCATAATTTACTTTGCATTAACCACTCAAGAGTATTCATAAGGATTTCGCTTATCTCCTTCCTATTCAAAATTTTTCGAATAAATGGGTTAATATGTGCACAATTAAGCTCTTTGAGGCATTCTCCCAATGTAAAAGGTGCTATGTAAGTACCTGTGTAATGTATACATTGTATTACAGTCTATTGTAGCTACACACATTGATTGACACCGTCAATTGGTAGGAGCAGTATAATTAATTATTTTCAAAACTCTGACTTCATAAACTGTACTTAGATTTCCTATTATCAAAATTTCATATTGTAGGGCTGTCCGAGCCTTCCCAGTAACTGACATAAAAGGAGAAAACTAGTCAAGGATTAAATGTGGATAAGTGTGAGGTGATACACTTAGGTAGGAAAAATGATAGGAGGCAATATAGACTTGGTAGCTCAATCTTAAGGAGGGTGAACGTACAGAGAGATCTGAGTGTTCAAGTAAGCAAATCATTAAAGGTAGTGGGGCAGGTAGATAAGGCAGTAAAAAAAGGCATTTGGTGTACTGAGCTTTATTAGTAGGGGCATAGAGTATAAGAGCAGGGAGGTCATGGTTAATCTATACAAAACAATGGTTAGGCCTTAGCTGGAGTATTGCGTCCAGTTCTGGGCACCTTACTTCAGGAAGGACATTGAGGCACTGGAAAAGGTGCAGAGGAGATACCAGGAATGGAGAACCTTAGCTATGAGGACAGGCTGGAGAAGTTAGGATTTTTCCCATTAGAGCAGAGAAGGTTACGCGGGAACCTGATAGAGGTCTTCAAGATCATGAAAGGTTTCGACAGGCTAGATAGGGAAAAGCTGTTTCCGCTGATAGGTGTGTCTGTGACCTGTGGTCACAGTATTAAGATATCTACCAAAAGAAGCAGAGGGGAGGTTAGAAGAATTTTTTTCACTCAGCGAGTTGTTCGGATTTGAAATAATCTGCCTGAAAGGGTAGTGAAGTCCGATTCGATAACAGCTTTTAAGAGAGAATTGGATAGGTATCTGGGGAAGACGGGATTTGCGTCTTATGGGGAGAAAGCTGGTATTGGGGTTAGTGAAAGTGACTTGCTCTGTCAAGGAGCCGGCACAGACTCAATGGGCCAAATGGCCTCCTTCTGTGCCGTAACATTCTATGAATCTATGAATCTATGAAATGTGCTTTGAGAATTTTATTCCTGGACTGTGAATTCTTACTAATAAATAGCACAATAACATTACTATGTGTATTTATCTTGGACTTCAATTAAACTCTTTGTTAGCCTAGCAGAAACAACCACAATAATAATTATCCTTACATTGGATATAGCGCATTTCACATTGAGAGAACATCTCAAACTACTTCACAGATTATACAAAAGTGGAGTGTCTGTAATTTGTAGGTAAAATGCAGTTGTGTCATATCTCTTTAGTAGGGGATGCTACACTGCGGCTTGTCTGATTTCCCTCCCTTCTTCCTGTCTGCTTTACTCTGTGCCTCAACTTTTGGTTTGCCAGACACTTGTCAAGTGGTGAACGGCAGCACCTACTGGCCTACCAGACACTTGCTAAAGACTGAACTGCCTGCCTTACCAAGAGAGAAAATTAAAGAGCGGTGTCACTTGAAGGTAAGATTCCAACCTTGGTCTTTCAGTCTGGTGTAGTATGTTGTCCCCAGCATTTACTTTGGTTATGTTTAAATAAAATACAAAATAGTGAAACCTCTTTGCAGCTGCCCTTTAGTTAGTGGCATCATTTCCACCAGATACCACCATTTATCAGTCAACTGGCCTATTTTTTATTTGTAACTAAAGCACAGCACACTGGAGATAATCTGAAGATAAGCTTTCAGACTGTCAAACCATATTTGGAATGAATTCCAAGAATCATTTTGGCTTGTCTTATTTTTAATCACCTTAAGTAGGTTAGCTTTCTAAAAGGATGTAATACTTCACAGCTTGTCCTCATTCAGTCTTTGTAAAGAACATGAAGGTGGTTGGGTCTTGCATATCTGGCTCTTTTTGCTGCATAATGTAAAGTTAGACGTTCAATGTGCCTACTTTTCTCCTCATTCTTGACGTCCTTGGAGATCTGAACTTTTCTACATGAAACAAAAATATTACCTAGGGAATTGTAACTGCTGGAAGGATGGAATTTTACAATTAGAAAAATTATGTAGGAATTCAATATCCAAAAGTGGAGCAAAATCTGGATGTGGGTTGAGGTAGGCAAAAAGTGGCATTTACCAACATTGTTTCTATATAAAAGAGATATACATTAGAGATAATTCTCTGAAGGTTATATTTATACAGATCTTGGCAGACAAGAACATCGCATTCATCACTCCTAATCTCATTATAAATTCATACCACTAAGATCCTAAATGTTACTGACCTGCAGAGAAACAGGACTTTTCCCTATATCCTGTCTCTAAAAGATAGGGAAAAGTGCCTGTAGTAGGGGTTTGTATACTGTATATCCAAGTTGTATGAAAGCAAGACCCACTGTTATACACCCAAGATATAGGCTAAAAGGGACCCTACAGCCCCGTTTGATATTGTCAAACCACCATTTTGATCATATTTGAAGGGAGGAATATGTTCTTCCATTAATTTTCTTGTTATTGATAAGTGCATTGGTTTTCATTTAACACATATTAAAAGGAAAATTGCAGATGCTTTAACAGCATGTACAGTAAATAGTTGGATACAGGGTTGTCTTTAAAATTTACCATATGGTCATTTTCCAAGTGAAAAGCCAGTCATTTCATACAGGAGAGGAGACAGATGTAACAGCATGTTATACTTCAACATTCTTCAACACCTTCCAGCAATTAACTGAATAATAGCATTGGAGATGCAGAATGGCAATCTGCCCTGCTGCCTTACATCTCACAGGAGAACCTGGAGAGAGAGAGGAAAATAATTTTACATAACATGGTAAAAATAATAAATAACTCAGAAAGTCTCCTCACTAATCTGAGCTGAATAGGACAACTAATTTTATTTTGTATATCTGTATTTATGAAATAAATTAAAGTATTTGTCTAGTACAGTACTTTACTGTCTTCTCTTGCTATGTATTAATATAATGATCCTTGCATTTGATATAGCGCCTTATCACATCTTCGAGATTTCTCAAAGCGCTTTACAGAATATACTATAAAGTGAAATGACTGTATATTGTGGGCGAAGCACAGCAGTGTCCCACAAACAGTCGTGGATTATTATTATTATTGATTATTTTAGTATGTAGTGTCTCCACTATGGAGACCATTGCACCCCATAATATCACAAATGCGACATTGGCAAGCTCCAAAATTCAGTCACTACACTTTACAGTAAATCTTGTGAAGCACTCTAAGAATCTTCTCAACGTGAAAGATGCTATATCAAATGTAACGATTCTTATTACATACAGTAAATTCTCTTAAATTCTCTCAGTAGCTGCTCTCTTGTATCTAAGGTGTTCCCTTTTCTGTGCATACTTTCGTGTTGTTCCTTTGCTATCAGTGACTGACCGAAAAACGTCCTCTGCCAGCTCCATCACTCTTACTTAGTCTTTACAAATTGAAGCAACCGTCTTCACCACAATCAATATCTCTAGATCACCTTCTCCTGGTCAAGCTCTCCAATCTACGTGGTTTTCCAGGCAGTGCCCATTGTTGTGAGCGATTATTTCCGAGCTACATGAGTGTCTGCCATTGAGTGTAGCTGGTCCTCTTTCTACATTAACAACTCAGTGCAACCAGCTTGATGATGTGATAGGAGGATGATAAAGAGTGTGTATTCTGGAAGGATGAGATCAGATAGTCCAAAGAGCCTTCTTCATCTGAAGTAATTTTTTGAGCTTATGTCGATACTGACTCATTCAAATTGGGGCAAAAGTATCTGAAGTATTTGTATAATGCTGCATAACCTGCTAATTTGAAAATGTTCAAGTATGAGATGTACATTGGACATGTGTTGTATTCGCTATATTTAATTGCCAAGGATAGTGAAGCGATTGGGAAAAATCACAAATCGTGAGAGTAAGATCGAGTAACTTACTGGATTAGCAAACTCCTGAATTCCAAGTATCTGCTCTTGAGTAACTGTACTCATTATTTTATGTAAAGTACGGTATTCTGTAAAATTAACACTTGTTTGCCTTTGAGAAACAAATTATTCACTTGAGGTAAGTGCATTTCTTGTTGGAGTTAACAGATGAAGGCTCTTTGGACCAACTGGCCTCCTTCTGCGCTGTAATTACTACGTAGAGGACAAACTTGTAGTAGTTCTTAATAAGGAATATGAGCCATGCAAATGGGGATTCCTTCCATTAACCAGAAGCATGTCACACTGACCCACGGGAATACTCGTCCAACTGATTTAATTTGAGAGCGGAGTTCTACTCTGAGTGCAGTTGACAGGAATTCTAAAGGGATGACTCTATGAGATATTGTGCAGACCAGGCAGTATGCCAGGGATCGCACAGTGATATAAAGTGATCATTCAGCTGCTTATTTGGGTATGTTCCAGGCATATTGGCTGCTTTAATGAAATCTGTGTTCATAGGACACTTATACGACTCAGTATTACCACAAATAATGTATGCATGCAGAATATGCAACCACTTCCTGTGTGAAGAAAACCACAACAGATCGCAAAACACAGAAAAGGCCTGTATTTTTCTGCTGAATATACAGTGAGGTTCAAGGGTGTAGATCATGTCTTACAGTATACAACAGCTCAATGAATCTACAGATACTTCACTTTCCAAACATGCATTTCATGATAACCTTAAAAACACAAACAAACAAATCTGCAAAGCAAACAGTGTTCCAGCTGAAGCGAAATAAATGATCAGCTCTCACTTTTTTTCCCCTTGTACGATTCTTTTGCTTGATGACCATTGGCAGTCACATGTCACTATCTTGAACCAGAATATATTCACATAGAAGCCATATGTTAGGGTCAGTTTGGTTCCATGAGTTGTGTAATGTTATGCTATTGAGGAAGGGAGATAATATTTGAAGTGATGGCGAACATCAGCAACGTTTACTGTATAACTTTATTTTCATCAAGATTAATTTATTAAAAAATAAATTTGGTTTGTAGTGTGGGTACTCCCTTCTGTGCAATCCAGTAATATTGTCTTCCACATGTTATTACTAGTGCATATGGCCTTTGTAGGTCCCATAAACATACCATCACACTGATGACTTATTTTTCATGGTGATGCCCCTTCCCTTCCAAGCAGACACCTTAGATTACGTTACGCATAGGATAAGGTATTATGCTGTGATTCTCAGCAACATCACCATTCACTGCTTGTCAAAGCATTGCTCAGATTTTCTTACCAAGTTGCCGTGTTTCATTCAAACACAATTCCATTTTAATTTGAAAAAAGAGAAAGGTTTGATCTAAGTGCAGTCAAACCACTTTACAATGTATAGCTAATTAATTCCCCTATTCTATCTTTAGAGTTCTGATATATGAATATTACTTAACATGCATAGACAGTGAGCGTATCAAAAATAGCACCAGTGCACTTGAAGCGGCAGAACCTTCCTAAACAATTTCATTTACATGGCACCATTTTCTCTTGTACTGAATCTGTATGTACTACATGTGACAGCACATTAAATAACACAAAGAACTATTGGCGCACCAATCCATGTTTCAATTTTATTTAGGAAAGATTCTGCAATGCACTTTAAAGGACTGCTCATTGGTAACTTTGCATTTGCCACTAAATTTCTAACTCCTATCTCTGCTGCCACACCAAATAGAAAAACGTTGGCCTTTTGTGCTTTTTTTTCAAGGCAAGACGGAGACAATGTTAACTATGTTACTGTGCTATATAAATGGGAACTGCATCCTGTTAGTATAAAAAATGGTGATTCTGGCATGATAAGGATTCATCTCTGGATAACATTTTCAGAAGAATATAAAAGTATACAGGAAATAGCAGGAATTTAGGATTAGAGCAGTTAGTTCCAGTGAAGGATCTTGCACCTGCATAGGTCTAATGAGCTGAATGGCCTCCTTCTATCCTGTAATTGCTGTAATTGCTATAATTGTAATCCTAGTGATATCCTAAAAGTAACTGAATTAAAGAAGCCTCTCACAACTTACTTTCACAAAAATTCTTCAGAGTACAAAAACCTGCTTTAAGTCAGTTATACATGTCCATAAAGCCTATATATTTTTTAAGGAATTTCATGTTCCATTTGAATTCTTTGTGCTTTGGGACAGATGGGAATGAAGAAAAGGTGCACGGAACCTGGATCTATGAGTGAACGAGGCCCAAGTTTATTTATTTTCCTTGTTATACCTATCATGTTCATATCTATATATTCAATAACCTTTGGGGGGACACAAGAACAAAAGGATTGTGTCTAAATCTATGATCATGTGTAACAGAAACTGCAACCCTTATTACTTTCTTTATCTTCACACAATTGCTGTATTGCTAAAGTTCATTCTTTCAGTCAATTTCCGGAGTTCTGCAGAATGTCTGAACTCCTTGTGGAGGAGATGGAATGTGAAGGGCACTCATTATGAAGTTACAGTTTCAGTAATGGTCAATCATCAATAAAAAGGAATGGAAAATGACAACTTTTTCCATACAATCAACCATTATCAGATTCAATTAAAATGCCTTGTGTTCGTTGATAACATAATATATTTTGACATGAGAAGAATTTTGAACTGTAATAAATGTGGTTGCTTAGAAATTTGAATCTAGAAAAACCTACCTCCCCTTCCCTACCCCCTTTTAAAATAAGAAAACTGGCGAATTTTTAGTAAGCATCTCCAGGAACTTAACCTCTCCGGGCACTGTAATGGCTAAGTATACAGGATAAATAATGAATACTGATTTACTACAAAGGAATCATTGAATTGCATATCTAAGTGAATGGGGATCTGAAGTTGTTAAATTTCAGAATATTGGCACTCCTATGTTGCTTGTCTTGTTTTTTACATGCACTTAATAGAATATATAAAGTTGCATTAGCTCATAGGATACATAATTGGGCATGGGAAACTTCACCTAAAGTGAAGCAAATGCTGAGAAAATAAATAAGCTTTTTTTTACTTTTTTTGTCTTTTTCGTGCAAAAATGGAGGCAGAAATGATGGTCTCTGGTTACTAAAAGCGCCAGCTTGCCAACCTAAACTGGTTAGAAATTGTGCGAAGAAAAAAGCAAATACAAGATGACAGATTAGTGTCCCAGATCTTCAGGTTATGTAGGGCATTTCTCTTATATTGAAGCCGGAATTGAAACCCTGGGTTAGAATGTGTACTAGCATCTTAACTATTCCTAATGCAAATTTATACAAAGAATGAATTAAGAGACTGCCGCATGCTTTATCCCATTGTACTATATAACGTTGCAGAAACCTCGGGTAGCCAAATGAATGAAATATAATGCAATATTTCAAAATGTAGAAAAACATGTAGAAAATAATAGAGGTCGAACATTTTTCAACATAGGACCTAATCATATAAAACTTGTCTTTAGGTTTTAGTGTGGATGATATCTGTTCCTGGATGATGCTGGCTAGCTATGCAATTATACTGTTCACATCTGACGGAGTTAAGCTCTTTCATATTTGCAAGGTTACCCACTAGTTTCACTAGTCCAAAGGAGTTTTTAACCCCTTGAAAATTGAACTTTAAAAGGAAAATCAAGCAAACATGCTCAATCTAATGCACACATTTTCCACACTTGTTAAGTAGAATACATGCTGAGTTAATTAACGAACGTTGCATAAATTGTTCCCTCAGATTAATTATCATAGCAAATTTGATACTGCATAACTAAACAAATTGAACAGTAATATTGCCCAGTTAACAGTATACTCTGATAGGTTCCCCTTAATTTTACATTTTATATTCGTAAATTAGAGCACCCTGAACAGATTATTTTGATCGAGATGAAATTGCACATATCTTTTATTCAATGTGCAGAGGAAGCACCATTATCATCCCACTGTGTATGTAATCCCATGTCTGCACACAAGTACATAGATGCAAACACAGGTGCTGTTGTTGTCCGATTTGTTCAACCATCTTTGCAATCAGCATAGTTTCCATGTACCCAGAAACATATCTGTGCATATTTCAGTGGAGTAATGCGTACAGCTACGTTATAATCCTGTTGAGCACCCTTGACATCGACCCATTGGTGCCCAGAAAAGACCCCAATGATCTTGCGTTTCCACTTCCTCTTGTCTGGATCCTTGAGGCGAATATAGACTCCTGAGCCACTTGATCCAGGCTCAGCATCACAATACTGATAGAACAAATCATTAGATTCATCAGACACAGTGCAGAAACGATATACCAACAGACCTGGTCGGTCATTGTCGAAACCTGAAAAGTGAATCCGATTGCTTGGCATCTTGTTGACAGGTGGACTAATTCCTATATCCATGTACTTTTGTTTGTGAGCTCTCCTTAGTTCAAGGACAGCATAATCATAATCCACAGCAATGTCATCAGTCACACCTTTGAACCAGCCCTTTGGTACCTGGGTGCGTGTTACTCTGGACCACTGGAAAGCTGGCTTGTCCTTTGTTCCCAATTTATTCCTCTTCAATCCTTTTCTTCTTCCTCCTTTTGATCTCAGTTTCAAAAATCCTACCCGTAGCCTCTTGGCACCTTTCACATAGTCTTTACCATCATGTATGCAGTGAGCTGCTGTTAGCACATGCTTGCGTGACACTAGAATTCCAGTACAGCCTGTGGAGATCTTCACTGCTGTACTAAAAGGGTATCTGGTCATGAAGTTCTTGTTACTAATGGTAAATCTACTGTCCAACCCATAGACTTCCCTCTTCCTCCTAGAATGGCCTGCTGTCTTAGTAACCCCATATTCAGCTTTCAGGTCAAAGTTTCTGACATCTACCTCGGTCAACGTACGTGTACCGTTTTCATAAACGGTTTCATATGAAAGGTAATTCTGAAGGTCAAACACATTGGGCACAGGTAATCTCTTTTGACAATCAATTCCACACGTTGAGTTTATCGACAGTTTGGATTCGGCTTTGAATTGTGGACTTTCTATGGCTATGGTTCGTCTATCGAGTACTACTGGTGCTTTCTGTAAGTGCCAGAGGTAATCCTCATCAGTATCATACCCAAAGCCAAGAGTTAATGTGCTAATAGAAAGTATAACTAAAAGTACTAGAGGTCCCATTGTGAAGCCGATTCTTCTCCTGCAAGAAAAAGGGAAAATAAAAAGTTTAACATAAAAATCATGTTTCTAGACCTGCTGATTATGCATCAGAACTATTTATCAATAATAAAGTCATTTGAGTCATTTCTCTCCTTACTTCTAATCCCCTTGTTCACTCCATGGCTCTGATACCCTTCATGCCTACTTGCTTGTGCGTATGAGTATAGCGTATAACATCTTTCATGTTGGGAGGACATTTCAAAGCTTTTCACGGGATATACTGCAAAATGTAGTGACTGTATTTTGTAGGCGAACGCAGTAGCCAATTTACACAGCAATGTCCCACAAACAGCCATGAAGTGAGTAATTAATTTTATTTGGGGGATTGTTGGCCAGGGCATTGGGAAAAACGCCCTTCTCTTTTCAGATAGGTTTGTCCGCCAAACAAGCAGTCGCTGGACTTTACATTATATGCTGTGAAATGCTTTGCAACATTTTCCCATCGTGGAAGAAAGCACTGTGGTTTGGTTTTTTAAAGTGAGTATAAAGTGAATACTCATTTTGATCATGGTCTGTTTTGAAAGCAAAGTCATTGATCTGAGATCAAACCATTTAATGTCCTGATTAAGATGAACATAATTATTCAATTCCTGTAAAGTATTGCCAGGACGTAGATACATAATGAACGGTTGGGCTCATTGCTTACATAATATGAAGTATTTTATCACAACAGTTTTAGAGTGACAAAAAAAACTAAATATAGAAATATATAAATGTAATTGTTTGGAAAGGCTAAAAATCAAAGCTTGACAACATTAGATTTTCTTAACAATAACTTTAACTGTGCTAATTGGCTCTGTTAGAAGACATTACAGATTGAGAAATGTTTGATTTTATTGGGAACTCACAAGGTATTTACTTATAGTATATTACAATTGTGTACATGCAGATTGAACTGCATTTAGTTAGGGATTGAGCATCTTTCAAACTGTTATGTGTAGTATTGTCATTCTTCAAGCAGTATGGTTTGTGGCTTTTCAAAGTGCACCCAGAATAGGTGACCCATTCTTAATGCAGAAACTTAGAATGGAATTAGATGAGGCAATGCATAAACGTAGTGCTCCTTTTAATATGCAGTTTTAATATTGTAACGTTATGATTGGCACACTCCCCAAAATGAATCTAAAGTACATTTTGCACAGAAAAATCAGAGGCATGAATACATTCACATTATCACCATCCACACAATTTTGCAATGTACCAGTACCTTTTGAGAAGTAAGATATAAAAAAAATATATGTGGAATTAAATAAAACACAAATAATATTAGGCATCTACCTTAATCTATAATCTGTAATATGAATTATTCCCTGTAAAATTTTGTAAATACTATTTTAGGTTGGTTAGAAAATGACAAACCTCATCAAAAATATGCCTTCTGTACTTAATGAATAAAAAACACCGTGAGTATTTAACACTGTACCATGGATCTGTTAAATATTGTATATTAGAGTATAAAAGAAACTCAATCCAACTTTATGATACACCATGACATGGTAGCAATCTGTTAAATATTGTATATTAGAGTATAAAAGAAACTCAATCCAACTTTATGATACACCATGACATGGTAGCAATATCACCCAATATCCACACGATTTCCCAATTTCCACCAAATCAGAAAGAAAGCAACATTGTGATGTGTTGTTATCGTGAGTGAATAATTATTTTTATTTGAGTGGGCAAATCTTCATAGATACAGATAAATAAACAGGAAAGCATGAAAAAAGTCAGGAGGCCCATCAAGTTTACTCAAGGAAGAATACCCTCATTCTACCTACTATCACAATGAAATCTTATCCGCAAAATAAAAATTGGCAGGGATTCTTCCCATTCAGCTCTTGTTAACTACAAGCTAAAGCCCTAATGGATAAAGGTGGTCTAGTTGGATAAGCAGTAGGAAGATTGCCAGACAGTGTTTACAATGGCCAGTTATGCAGTTTTAATTGGTGAAACTTCAGCAATATCCCAATACACAATGGGCAAAATAAAAACTAGGTAAATTTGTTGAAAACCAGGATTTTTTTTGAACTTTGAAAACTCAAGAAAACAAGCCAGATATAATTTGTTTTATTGATGAACACAATTGTTTATTCAGTACAAAGCTGAGTATTCACATTTATTGGCACCAGCTCCATTGCCGATAAGTAAACTGTGATAATTGGACATCACCCAAAACCAAATTGGCTACAGGTTTAACTAAAAAAATGTTTCATCAGGAGTTATACTGCCTCTGTATTACTACACTGTGCTAACCCTTCTCTTGCTTTCTCTCCCTTCTCTCATTGACCCTTCCCCTCTCACTCACTCTCTCTCACGCTCTGAGTCTGAGTTTAACTTGAATATTCTCTCACAGATCTGAATCTCTAATTTTCTGTTTCTTTCCATACCTTTCCTATTTCTAGTTCTAACTTTACACTGTACAGAAATTTGTATTAATGAATTACCAGCAATAAGTCAAATTGCAAGTGAGGTTCCTCTGCTGTTCAAAATGCAGTTAGGAACCCTGAGCACTGGCATAACTGGATTCACAATGTGGATGTCCACACATTCCCGGAGTGAACCCAAAGGAGCAAATTTTGTTTTGAATAAAATCAATCAGTTGCTCATCCACAAAAACACAGTCACTCGATCCTCAATTGTCCTTTATCCCCCACATCCGTGCCATGACCCGCTCTGCCTTTCCCCACCTCCGCAACATTTTCTGGCTGCGCAACTGTCTCTCATCCCCGGCTGCCGAAATCCTCATGCACACATTCATCCCATCCATCCTATCGACTATGCAAACTCATTGCTTCTTGGCCTCCCAAACTCCTCCCTCCACAGGCTGCAGATCATCCAGAACTCTGCAGCCCGTGTCCTCTCTCGATCCCCCTCATCCTCACCCAACTCCACTGGCTCCCCATCACTCAGAGGATACAATTCAAGATCCTGGTCCTCACCTTCAAATAATAATAATAATAATAATAATCCTTGCATTTGATATAGCGCTTTTCACGTTGGGGGGACGTCCCAAAGCGCTTCACAGAACACACTGTAAAGTGAATTGACTGTATATTTGTGGGCGAATGCGGCAGCCAATTGCGCACAGCAATGTCCCACAGACAGTCGTAGATTGAAAATGACCAATTTATTATTGTTTTTGGGTTTTTTGGAGGGATTATTATTAGGCGTGTGGAGTAAGGAAACTTGCCCAAGGTTTCGCCCTCTGCCTGGAATTGAACTCAGGTCTCTCACTTGCAAAGCGAGTGCTCTAACCACTGAGCTACAGGACTCCACGAGTCCTCCACTGCCTTGCTCCTCCCTACCTCTGTATCTTCCTAACCCCCTATCAACCTGTCCACTCCCTCTGCTCAGCAGGATCTGGTCTGCTTCATGTCTCGCGCTTTGCCAAAACTCCCAAAACTGTACATCTTGTTAGTATGAGGCACTGGTAAAGCTTTCTGATGTTTGATTATTGAGAAACATCTAATCTGCTATCATGCTCGTTTCCAGGGTTATCAGAAGGGGAATGGGAAGAATTCTGTTCCCAGTCACATGACTCTCTCTCCAGGTTCCAGAGATGATCCAAATGGGTTGATCAATCATCAACAGCACCTTGGAGTATTGAGGATTTGGTTGGATCAGATATTGGCCCACCAGAGAGAGATGCCACAGCTCCACTCCTCCTTCACCAAATGTGTCACTATGTGGCAGCTTAATCAAAGGAGGAATTCCCCCCCCCCCCATGCCCCCACTTCTTACTTCTCTTAAGGCAATCACAAGTTGATCATCAGATATCTGACAAGCATAAGCTTGAGCTCCTACTACTGTAGATAAATAGCTGGTAACAAGAACACCTTCCAAATTGTTTAGTGAGTAAGACAGCTGCAGATTAAATGCGAGTGTGGGTTCAGGAAGTATCTATGCTATGCATACACATGTGGAATGCTCAGTACTTTGTTTTGGAGACTCGAGCATGGTAATACAATACGATTCACATTTATACAGTGCCTTTCACATCGAGAGGATGTCCCAAAGTGCATTTATGGTGCTGGATGCGCAACTGAGCTGGGGGTGGGAGCTGAGGAAGGGAAAATTGACCAAAAGCTGTCAAAGAAGTACATTTAATGGTAATAGTTTTTTGACCAAAACGACTATACAATAATAATAATCATCCTTGCATTTGACATAGTGTCGTATTATGTCTTCGAGATGTCTCAAAGCGCTTCACAGAATATACTGTAAAGTGAATTGACTGTATATTTTGTGAGCAAAACACGGCAGCCAATTGTGCAATATGATACTGTTGACCAGGAGATGGGGTGGAGAAGTCCACATTAAAGTAGATTTTGTGTGGTTGTGGAGGCAATGGGTTTGAAGGCTTTTCTTTCGCTCTGGTTCTATACTTTCTTATGTTCCCACTCCTTGCATTCCCCAGACAAATCTCTTTGGATGCTGGATTTTAAGTATCCACTAGGTGGCAGAACGCAACAAGGGAATCAATAATGATAAATAATCCTTGCATTTTATATAACGCTTTTTCATGTCTTCGAGACGTTTCAAAGCGCTTCACAGAATATACTGTAAAATAAATTGACTGTATATTTGTGGGCAAAACGCGGCAGCGCACAGTGAAAAGCGCACAGCAGTGTCCCACAAACAGCTTGGATTGAGTGACCAATTTTCATTGTTTTTTTTTCTCTTGAGAGATTATTATCAGGCATATGGAGTAAGGAAATCGAATCGAGGCCTCTCACTTGCGAAGCAAGTGCTCTAACCACTGAGCTACAGGACTCTACGTAGCTCCCAACCGCAGCCTTGAAGTGCCACTTAAAATAACTTCTGTCATTTTGTTTTTTTTTAATTTTGAACAAAAGAAAACTTTTCATTTGAAACATTTACCATTGCATTTCTTTGTATTTTTATCTGAAAACTGAATGCTATTTTTATAGATCCGTAATTTGTTTTAAGTGTACAATACAGCAATTATCACACATTTAAGCATGAATCATAAAACCACAGAAATTTTCAATACAGAAAGGAGGTCATCGTGCCCATCAAGCCTGTGTTTATCCTCTGCAAGAGCTAACCATTTAGTCCCATTCTCCTTCCTTTCACTTGTATCCTTTTATATTTTTACATTTATCTAATTCCCTCTTAAAACTTAAAAAACACACGGTTCCAGGTAGGGCATGCCACATCTTAAGAACTCTGTCCGGCTCATCGAGTCTCCACCGGCCCTCAGAGTGAGGTGTTCAATCCCACCGCCTTGCCTTGTCCCCAAACTCCCTCAAGCCTCCATCCTTCACATACTGGATCTGTCTATTTCCCCCTGAAACCCATAGTGGACTCTGTCTCTATCACCTTACTTGACAGGGCACTCCGCATCCCAACAACTCAAGTGATAAAAGTGTCACCTAAGGGGTGAATTTTTCCCCCTAACTCTCCCAATCCTCTTTAGTAAAATTACAGTATCTTAAATCTGCATCCTATATGAGGTCTATGTGAAATGAATGTAATATATATATTCCAGACGTTTTCACATTGAGTGTTCAAAGAACTGAACCTGTGGATGGGTTGCCAGCTTAGCCCAGTGTTACAATCAGTGTGGCAAATCAGAAATGCAGTTTCAGGCATTTGTGTGTGTGTTTCCTTCAACGCAGATGAGCACAGGATTTTGTCTTATTTGAATATTTGTAATGAGACATAAAAACTCCTAGAGCAAGAAGCTGCTGGGACAGTTGCCATACTTATAAATTCCCAGGTCAGCACTGAGACAATTAATACTGGGTCCACACCCGCCTTACTTGTATTTATGCATTACTCAGGAAAGCAGTGCTCACTGAGATGTGTGTGTGTGTGTGTGGTGTGTGTGTATGGTGGGGGCTCCTGGCACAAGTCCCCTTCACATTGACATCAGGGAGAGCAGAAGGCTCTCGCCTCGATCCTAACATCCTCCCTTTCTTCCAGTATTAATTCAAAATTTAAGAGATCATCTTTAACCATTGGTACTGCAATAGCTTCTTGTCATTCGGGATATGTTTTACTTGGGTTTGAACGAAGTTGTACTTCTTTGTTTGCAAGTCAATCACTTTCATTGCACTCCCCATTTTAAAACCATTTCTCCACTCTCCTCTGGACACTTACGAATCTTTTGTTCTGCGTTGCGTGGTTTTGGTTGACCCAACATATCTACTGAAACCTCCTTAATGTCTGCAAACCTTTACTTTAAACCTCGTACTAATGACGTTCTATGTCAAGGGACTCAAGTTATGACATTTTCTAACACTTAAAACAATCTGGACTCACTTTTCAATCTGATTAAGTGCAGCTTTTATACTTTATTCCCCTCAGAGCTTAGAAACGACTATATCATTATTTATAATTGACCACAATATTTCCTTAAATAGCCAGGGATTTTCTTTTCTGGCTGAAATCCTGGTCACGGAAATAAAATCAGAGCCTTGGTGCACAGAGCCTTGGTGCAGTTAAGCTTAGGTCATACTGTATTAAGCAAACTGTACATGTCTACATGACAATGGCACCCATAATTTCACAGGCTTTCAGGGTGATCTTAACATTAGAGTTGGAACCTGTACCAAATAAATACAGTGGTTGTGGAGAAGACGATGGAAACAGCACGCACAGTTAGGTATTTGGCTGTGTTGGGACTCTGGGGGAACAGTTTGTTTTAACATCACAATCAGAAAATCCTGGAAGTTCAGATACGTCTGCATATGACAGAGAAAAATAGACTAATGTTCCGGGTGTGACTTTTTGAAAAAAAACAACAGAGGTTTTTTTGTTAACGTTCTGCAAAAAAAACCTTGAAAGTTGAGGATTTTACATAACTGAACAATAGATGGCCTCGCAGATCTCCTGTTCAGCTGCCAGAGTGCCAGAGTGTGTGTGTGTGTGTGTTCAGGAAAAACATTCTTGCCTGAATCAAGCCTTCGAGGGCATTGAGAGGTTTGCCCACAGGCTCTGCTCTCATTGAGTGCTGGATTCCTGACCTCACTCTCACAACTCAGCATCTGATATCTACCAGAAAGGAGAAAAAATACCTTCTTCAACTTGTCTCGTCTTTGGAAGAGTATCCGCGATACACTATGTATACACATACACATGGAATAGAATGGACAGAGTCGGTATAACATATTGCTTATTATAATTATTGTTGCAGGTAAAGCCAGACCCCACTAACCACAAGCTTTAAACATACCTGTTTGTCCAGAAAACAAGAGGTGAAATCAGCTCCAAATTACCACAGTGTGCTCATCTCATACATTATTTTCCCCGGAGACACATTTTTTATTTGCTGCACTTTAGACCGAAATGGGCAACATCAATAAAACAAAACTAACTAGTTTGGAAAAAACTGTAGTTTTAAAGTCAAGAAATATGTCAAGGCGATATTATGGCTATTGCACGGTAGGTAACTTGTTATTATCCTACAATGACTTAGTACATGAGTGCATTTTTAAAAATCTTTGAAAGGTGACCTGAAAATAAAGCTTCTGTTTTCTCAGGTAATTTGCTTCAGATATTAGGAAGTAATGGTGTGTGTATATGTGTGTGTGTGTGTGTGTGTGTGTGGTGAGGGCTTGGGGGAATGCTTCATATAAATGTGTTTAACTGCTGAAATGTACACTTCCTATGTACTATTCACTGTGTAAACTCGTTACATGAATCGATTAACTCAACTGACCCAGTAAAACACTTTCACTGGTGCAAACTTCTCTCCCAATAAAACTTCACCCACCCTGACCCTAACATGTGCATGCAATGGTCATTTTCTTACCTGTTATCATTCGAAAGGTGAAAATCTACACGATCCTCTCTCTGCAGGGGCTTAAATAAAACTGGGATCCCTCTTGGCTTCTCAAACGAAAAGCCTGTGTTCAAGAGATTTCAGGAAGGAAGGGCTTGTGACTGTAAAAGTCCTTCGACACTGAGCACCAACACAACACTACCAGCCCAAGCTTCGTCTGCACACTACACTTGATGCAATTGAAAGAGAGAAACAGTGCAAACGCTTCCCTTTTTCCCAGCCCAAGGGGACTCAGAGGGGTGTGTCCAATAGGATCAGCAATGCCGCACTCCTCTAAACGTGGAGCCTGAGATGCACAGCCCTGCTCTCCCTTTGCTGTTTTCTTGTTGCCAAGTTGCTGTTTGCAAAACACGACCTTTCTCTCCAACACACACGAATTGATATAAAAATCCCATTTGAGGCAGGTCTGCCCTTGGGTTTGCTCCCAGGGTCGCGTCCTTGATGCTGCGTTGGATAAAAGTGCTTCAATTTTAAGATGTTACAACAATTTAGAGGAGAGGGTGAAAGCAAAACGCCAGGACAAGTCCATGGACTGTGCAATGCACACTCTTGAGATCTTTTGAAACATGAATCTATCTTGCAGAAAGGAATATTACAGACATGGATTTCACAGCTCAGGATTAGGGATGGAGATGATTTTTTTTATTGCTTAACGCCTTTTCTTTTCGTACTTTTTGCAATCCTTTTACGAGGTGAAACGTCTTAACTGAGATGTCTCTGGAAAGGGCTCTGAAAGGCGAGCACAGAACTTGGCGTCCAACCTTCTTCAAGTGTTTTTTTTAACAGAACGAGTTGCTCGCTCTCGAGTCCGACTGCTGTCAAAATTAAGCTGTGGGTTGGACATCTCCCACACAAACAACTTGTGGATAAAAGCATCGTGTGGGGACAAGTAAAATGGGGGAGCGATCGAGAGAAAAAAGGTCATTACCTGTTTAATAGAGAGGCTTTGTATTTCTCAAGACTCTGCCTCAGGAAGGGGAGCACAACAGTACCTGACCCAGGGGTCAAACCCTGAGAGGCGCTGAGTGGAAGGAGTCAGGCATGAGAACAGCCAGGCTGTCCTGGGAGTGAATGCACTCTTTATAGGTAGACAGATAATCGAAAATAGCTAAAGACAAGAATTGCAATAGGAATGGGGTTGAAAACAGAGGAGGGAAAGAGAGAGCCAGAAAGAGGAGGGGGGGGGAAAAAAAAAGCAAAACAAAAGGGGAAATACAATTCTGCTTTTAGCACTGTCTCCACTAAAAAAAAATAAGGTTTGGGGCATACACTGCTATTTGCTTAGAAACCCACGACTTGCATCATCACGTTACATGTGAGAAGCCATATGTCAAAACCGACTTGTGATTCTTTTGGCACATCCTCTCCCTCCACCTCCAAAAAAACAAGCCCTTACAAATCATGTATTCATTGGAAACAATATTCCTTTAAGCAGGGTACCAGCGTGATACAATCAGCAAACTAAACGAGGTTAATGTAAAAAAATAATTAGACAGACAGACAGACACAGTATGTGAGTTGTTTGAGCAATGCCTCGATGTCTGAAAGAAAGTTTTGCAGTGAGAGTATTGTGCTACTTCAGACTGATGTATTCCTGGCCAGCTCAAACACAGATAACACAGAGCAGCTAGAGGCTATTGAAATTGGTAGCCCAGACAACATCCACCCGTCTATATCCTTATCGCCTTTGTCCCATCTTCAGACATACCATCCACTCCAAGTAACCTCGCGTATTCTGAACCAAACAGAGAATTCCAGTTGCATTACAAACACCTTCTGGATATTTCCAGTGAAACCTCACAATTTTCCTCAGTTATTCATGCTTTCAAGTTCCAAGTTCTGGATAATAAATGCTGCACACAGCCATCTAGGGACAGCTTTCTGAACTTCACCTGGATCTAGTGTATTAACTGCATAGTGTATTAACGGGGGATTGTCCCAGATCCTGGTGGATTGGCTCATCACTTTCGAATGATTTTACACACAAGTGATGGAAATTATGTTTTGATGGCACAAGGCACATGCTGCAGTAAGTGTTTTGCCAGCAAAGAAGAATGCCCTCCAGTGCAGTGCAAAGGGGAGTGTTGCATTGTTGGAGGTGGCATCCTTCAGGGAGACATTAATCCATCTGTATATTAAAGATCCCATAGCACTATTTGAAAAGAGAAGAGACTTTCCCCCGGTGTCTTCCAGATAAAATACATTGTCATTACATAGCTATTTGTGGGACATTGCTGGAATATTGTAGAACTCCACTGGTTCATAGCTATAATAATACTATAAATCTCTGCATTTGAAAAACACCTTTAATGTTGGTCAGATATCTCAAAGCACTTGACAAGATATACTGTGAACTGTAGTGCTGAATATTTTGTAGACAAACATAGCAGACAATTTGTGCACATCGATGCCCCACAGATACATTTGCAAAAGTGAAATGTTTTATTAATCGCAGATTCTATTACAGATCAAAGAATCAATGGACTGAAGATGATGTAAAATAAAATCCTTCCTAAAAGGTATTCCAGCTGCAGATGTGGGAGTCTAGCTGATAGATGCTGGTAGACCCTTTATTGGGTTAAAAAGGGTGAATCATTGGATACTCAATGCCTTTAAAAGTATCAGCCTGATTAAAATAAACCAAATGTTAAATGCAATCCTTTCATTACATTATTAGCTTTTGCTCCACTTCACTGCAATACTTTTAAGTGGTCAGAAAAGCTCACAATACCACTGTGGCTTCAATGGACTGTTGGGTTATTGTGATGTTTTCTCCTCCTTGGAATTAGATTGACACCAAGCAATGGTAATTTCTGGATAAAGAATGGTGGTTTTGTATTTTTCTATTGCCTGTTTTAGAACTATAGGGGTGAAAATTGTTTTACCCCGAAAGCATTTGTCACCCTGTACAATGGAAAAAGAACCCTACATAACAAGTACCGAACCACAGTGGCATTACATACACAAAAAGGCCACTTAAAAGGTGAAAAATGAATAATGTGCCCAAAAGACTGATTTTCAACACATAAACTTCAATGATTAAATCAAATCCTTCTTAAGATTCATTTTTATTTGGTTAATCTAATATTTTAAAGGAGATTAAAAAAAACTATGCTGAATCAGATCATTGAATGTAAAACTGGATTAGGAATAGGAAGTAGAAAATAATTCTAAAAGAATAAAGTTCAGTGCAATGGCAGTGAGTAGCTGAATTCTGTAGAGCTTTGGTCTGTGTTCACATTCACATATGACTTGTGGTAAATCAAGCTATGTGGGTATTTATTATTTAAATTATTATTCTAGGATACGTTGTGGTGAAAACTGGGGAAATGGGGATATTTTGTTGTCCCTAGGGGGAAGGATGAAAAAATATTTTAGAATTATAATAATAGTTAATACATATATTCATGACACATGGAATTATAATAATAATAATCCTTGCATTTGATACATTGCTTTGTCACATCTTCAAGATGTCTCAAAGCGCTTCACAGAATATACTGTAAAGCAAATTGACTGTATTTTTGTGGGCGAAGTCAACACCTTGGGACATCCTCCTGACGTGAATGGTGCTATACAATTGTAATTTTTGTTGTTGTTGAAACACGGCAGGCAATTGCGCACAGCAGTCTCCCACAAACCATCGTGGATTGAGTGACCAAATTATTATCATTTTAAAAATGTATTTATTCTTTTGAAGGAATTATTATCCCTGTAAAAGTAATTTGCCAGTCAACTAACAATTGTGTTCCTACTTACTAAAATAATAAATAATAATCCTTGCATTTGATATAACGCTTTGTCACATCTTCTCAACGTCTCAAAGCTTTTCACAGAATAGACTGTAAAGTGAATTGACTGTATATTTGTGGGCGAAACGTGGCAGCCAATTGCGCACAGCGGTGTCCCACAAACAGTCGTGGATTGAAAATGACCAATTTATTATTGTTTTGTTTTGGAGGGAATATTATTAGGTGTGTGGAGTAAGGAAACTTGCCCAAGGTTTCGCCCTGCCTGGAATTGAACCCAGGTGTCTCGCTTGAAAGGCAAGTGCTCTAACCACTGAGCTACAGGATTCCACATAGGTACTGCTAGGTAAACAGCGGCATGTGGAGTAAGGAAACCTTGCCCAACATTTCACCCTCCCCGGAAATCGAACCCAGGTCCTCTCATTTGTGAGGCGAGTGCTCTAACCACTAAGCTACAGGACTCCACAAATTGTTACTTTTCTAATTTCTCTGCTTCCTCTTGGTGATAGCATCCGCAGATATGGGGTCAACTTCCATAAGTATGCAGATCATACCCAAATCTATTTTTCCTTCTCTCATCACAACTTCAGTCCTACCGATGTTCTAACTGCCTGCTTGTCTGACATCAAGATCTGAATGAGCGGCAACTTTCTGCAGCTGGACATGAACAAGACAGAAGCCACCCTCCTTGGTTTCGTCAATGTCTTCTCAACTGTGGTGCTGAACTCCTTAACCTACTCTGCCTATCCATCAGGCTTACTGAACTTGTATGCAACCTTGGTGTCAGGTTCAATCCCCAGCTATGCTTCCTACTTCACATTCAGTCCCTGACCAGCACTGCCTTCTTCCACCTCCATCACATTTCCCTCCATATAAACAAGGTCAAAATGATTCAAAACTCTGTCGCTCATGTCCTCACCTGCTCGAGGCTCTGCACCCCATATCCCCAGTTCTTGCCAGGCTGCACTGGCTTTCTGTAGCAGAATGGATCAATTTCAGGATACTCACTCACTTTCAAATCACTTCATAACCTGGATCTTCCCTACCTTTCTAATTTGCTCACATCGTGCTCTAGTCCCATCGCCTTTGGTCAACTGGCTTGGATCGTTTTGCACGTCCCTTGTCCCCTCTGTTCCCCCATTGGCAGCCGTGATGTCAGCCACTATGCCCAATTTCCTTGCCTCTTTGCCTCTATTCCTCAGTCTTGCCCCCTCTTTGCCCGTATTTGAGTTACACCTGAAGACTTTCCTCTTTGACTGTACCTTCAGTCACCTTCCCCTCTGTTTGACAGCACTGTGTCAAACCACCCCGCTCTTAAGTGCTTTGGCACACCACCTGCATGAAGGATGTTATATAAATGGAAATGGTTATTGCTGTTTATTGACATTGAAATTCAAGGTGTCTTGAAGCTTTCCTCCAGAAGACAGCGTGGGCGGGTGAAGTCCATGAAGTTCCAGGAGTGCATTTCATGGGGTGAGCGATATTTTCCTTCTCTTCATTTTCT